GTATAATGAGAACCTAGGATTTACTGTGGAAAACAAGGAGCTAGTTTTCCGAATGATGAAAAAAGATCTGTTACTTAAATCTTTGTGCAGTGGATAAAATCAAAGTCTATGGAAAGAATAACGRGTCCWCCCTTTGKACAAATGTACCCAGTTGAAGAAAATGACAATTCTGAAATCTCCTTTAATAGATACAGCAATGCAAAGATAATCTTGTAGTGACGGGGAGAGGCTCCCATATCAGATTACTTCTACTGCAGATTAAGTTTTCATAGGCTAAGTCGCCAGATGAATTGTCGTAAAGATAATTTTATAGGACATGGGTACATTTTCGATCTGGCCGACTTTGCCTTAAATCCTTTGCTTATCATCCTTTTCGATCAACTGTGAAAAAAGGGGCTGGGACACACCCATGGTTGTAGAATCTATGCGAATCACCGGTCTCTAAGGCTTATTAGGATTTTGACTCTGCTGGCAATGTTTACTCACTGAGCGACAGAAAATGGAACAATTGCAACACACAGGCCTCCTAAAACACGAACAATCCAGAACGATAGATGCTTACGACGTAAGCCGGAAGTGAATTGAAAACAACAGAAAACAAGGGAATGGAAACGAGGCCTAAGGGCCCTTGAGGTGTTTAGATGGCAAATATCAAGAGATTCCCTTCGCCTCAATTCGAGAAAATTTGCTTGTCTGTAGGAAATGGACATTTTCTTGCTTATTGTTAAATTCAATAAGAATATTTTTCAATCCCTAAGTTACTTCCGGTTTATGTCGTAAGCATGTATAATAACACGCCAACACTAGTAGGTCAAACAAAAGCAGGCCTGTATAGATAGCTATTATGTCTTTTTGTTCTCATAATCAACCGCCAAAGCGACCTCCAGTGTATTTTCCTCAATACGTTAACATTCCCATTTTAAATCTCTTTACAGAGAAACAAAGAATCGTGAWTACGGCATTTAACCTGAATAAATAAAAACCGCAAATGGATAAATACAAGCAACAAAAGAACAGTGGGTTAAATACTGAATGTTTACCGCTAATTTACCAGAAAATACACGCTACCGCAACGCAAGCGGTGCTGAGGTAAGTCACGGATGATTCTTTAAAACGAAAAATTCGTGAAAATTATAAGAGCGTCATGACAATATGATTTTTGGGAACACTGGACTAATTCTATAGATCTCTTAATTGATTGAATTATAATTTATGGAAAATACACGAGAATTGTTTCCATTTTACCGCTAAAGCTCGTATACTATGTTGGTAGAGAACAAGAGAAAACGATAAATAGCTATATACAAGCAATAACTACTAGTTAGTCATAATGAAAATATTTTTATRATCAATTTCACAGTTTTTCAGTGTAAATTTTAAACTCGGCATTACCTAAGTGACTTAGTTATCAAGATTGGTAAAACTCTAGTAGTAGTGTCCTAATACTAATTGATGTTTTTAATTCGCAGTGCTAACAACAAACTATAGGTACATATACCGGCTCAGTCAATAAGAAATGGGAGCAATCTTCGGCTTAGTTTTTGTGATAGCTTTMAGCCTKTCAGGCGTCACACCCTTGGCACCAGATTGTTACAACCCCTCTGGCTCATCATGTGAGTGGTACCCTAACTGCATGCATAAGAAATACCCTTGCGACTCAAGCAGCCATCCTTACGCTATGGCATATGCTTACAAGTTTTGTAAACTSTACGACCAGCGCAAGGCATTGTTCAGTCCCYATGAGTGGGCATGGGTCAATGGTGTAAGAAAGTGTCTACAGGTRGCCTTGGRCCCAGTTCTCAAGCAGTCAACCACACCATCGTGTCAAGAAATACATAACAAGGGTTTCAAGTCTCATGCYCCATGTTATGTAAATCCTYGTCAAGGCGCCCCYACAATTTGCAAACTTGGCTGTGATGTTTACATTAAGATCTTTCGAGTGATCAAAAGTTCTTTAAACAGCTGGTACACATTTTGGGAAATGATGAAAGCTTCTTGGCATATTAGTAAACAATGTGGATTCAAATGCAACCTAACAGGCTTGTATTGAGTTGAAGGAAATAAATGAATAAAAGATCTTACTCGATCATATCGTTCTTGTCATTCTTCTCGCCATCTCACTTATTACAAAGCCGCGACGCCATTTTCTCGAACAAAGCATGACGGGTAAAGCGGTCCTCGCACTTTTTCGTGAACGCAAAGAAAAAAGATCAAAATACATTTATGTTTCCATGTTTCCTATGTAGAACCAGCTGAACAACTTGCAATAGTATAAAAAAAACATGAAGACGGAACCGTTTGAAAATGATATAAATTATCAAAAGACCAACGACTGTATACCTTTGTGCGACATAAGTTARATTTTACATTTATAAAACCATTAGAAATTTACATGCTAATTAACAAGCCTATTTTACTACCGTCCATATAAATTTTTACAATGTAAGAGCATTTCAAATTTCTTGGGTTTCACRTCTAAAAAACTACCGCGATTTTTTAACATGGCAAGAACTGTTGATTACTGTCTAAGAATAGGTGACGTGGTTCTCGACGTTATGAAATGGGCTTCTTCTCAGTTAGAATTTTCTGGACGATTATCCATGCCTGGTTTTCCGGCATTTGACGGCCGTCCATAGATGCGTACAATATGCTATGATATAAAATAGATTTGGTCCTATCTAATGCGCGCCGCCCATGTCTTATGACCTGTTGCATGTAGGCGTATGGGTCGTAGTCATTGAAGCAACATAGCAGACCACTGAACATTTTCTCTGTTGAGCTTGTTATCCAGCATACATTGTACATTGCATTGACTCAACAATGGATCTTCGTCAAATGGAGACTCCCCAAATAATGTCTCACTGACCTGACTGAGTCCTGCGATGGGGCTTTGTTCCTGGCTTCGATTCTACAAAATTTAACAGATACAAGGATAGAGCATGTGCATGTTCTGAAAATTGTTATCCAAATTTCAACTTTCCAATGAAAATCTCTAATCAAAATCTCATTTCTCTCCAAGTCATGACGATTTTCTATTGAGGAACTGAGACGTATATGGGTACTGGAAATAGCACYGATTATGGTAAAAACATCGAAACTTACAGACGATGCAATAGACAGGTTGTCAGAACTTTCGAATTCCATCGGAGAAAATCCTGAATCTTCCGACAACGGACTGAAACAGAATAAAGGAACCGTGACTAACCGTAACTTCCTAAGGCCATCTGATGATTGACTGGGTTGCTGGCTCGTTTGTTGATAGTGGATAGGGGCGCGCAACTAGATGCAGTGAACAGCTATTTGTTTTTCGATCTTGGGTCTCCTCACACTYTATCCCACGTATTAATAACAAGAAAATGATGAAAGTACCAGCCCATGTGGGATATTACGCATGCTTCGAAACGATGCATGTTTTCAGAGCTTATCCCACATGGCTTCGTGTGCCTCTCGTAGACTTGTTCACAATAGCATATTAAGTATGTTAGGGAATCATTTCACGTACCTAAACTGAAGATTCTCATGGTTCTCCACTAGCTTTTTCTTCTTTTTAGGGTATCCTGGGTGGGTTTTCCTTGCTTCTCGAGGTTGGATAAAAACCTCTTCTTTTGGGAGTGAATGATGAGGGTCGTAAAGAAATTTAAACTCAGGATCCACTCTTATTTTTTGCGAAAGAGTATTTTTTTCAAGATCGAACCTTGTCCATGGCGGCTTAGAATCGCATTCTAGAATCATTAACAAAACATCAATCGACCTAACAGTTGGTTAACAATGATAATATACTTAAAAAAATATGGGARATTAGTAGCCTCCGTAGCAGACGTTCCAAGCGGTTCGATTCTCTTCTGCGGGAGAGAATCGAACCGCTTGGAACGTCTGCTACGGAGGCTAGGATATTAGTAAGACTTGAAAAAGTTGATTACATTGATACTAAAGACGAAGGAAGCACAAACTACCTGACGTATTTTCTTTGTAGGCCACAGAAATACCGCCCTGMGTGCTAGGTAGGCTAGTATCGCTAAATCTGAGTAGAAATGTCCCGATGGATTCGTATGCCAAGAGCTGCTCAGCAGCTGCTCTGTCAATGAATCCCTCTATATGACTGTAAGACAGGAAAGGAATTTCTTCATTAACCATATGCAAGGGCGAATGTAGCAAGCTCTCAGGGGATTTTAGATATAAAAGGAGATGTCCATAACTGTCCATAGAGGCACCATGCACACCCTAACTCTGCCCTCCTTGAATGGATGTGATGGGAATGAAATGTATTTTTGTTTTGTATGCTTTAGGGCATACATTTTGAAGTTTAATAATTTTTGTAATTGTTGTCTTAAAAAATCCAAAAGGAACTTTGCAACTGGGATATAAGCTTTTGGAAGTCACGCATTTCAGTATATATATTTAAAGAGGTTAAATTTCGGTATGTTTTAGGCTTATTTTTGAAACTTTCCGTTCATAATGAAGTTAAAAATACTTCCATGAAAACGAATTCTCTTGATAATGTGTATTTAGGATTTGCTTACCCATTTTTCCATTCTTCTTTCATGAAATCATGGACAAACTTTAKGATTTGAAAAAACCATTCCGAGAAAGAGAAAGAGGAATATTCATACTACGAAAACAAGAGAAACAATTAAACAATTATTAAATCAACCAACCACCCAACCAACCAATCAACCAATGAATCAATTTATACCTTAACGGAGTTGTGAAACACTGCTTTAGAAACGTAGTATTCATTCCTTTTATTTGGGTCATATT